ATGCAACAGGCATATGAAGACACCATCCACACTAACAAATTTTCAATAGTCTTCATTTTTTTACAAAGTTTAAGAAATAAAACAATTTTTACTATCTTTACATGAAAGTTCCTTTAAGTCTTCTTAGTTTTTAAATTAAAGAGTTAATGTAGTAGTGGCTGAAAATAAAATCTAAACAATGAAGATAAAACTGTAATTTAACAACAAATGAGTGAAAAACCTAGTGGATAATAGAATCCAGACTATAATGAAGGCCAAGGTAATGACACTGACCAGAACAAGTCTGAAGATGATTCTTTATAATGTTGCACTAACATTAGTCAGTCTGAGCTGTAGACTAACCAACTCAAGTCTTAGATTAGATGGAAAAAATTAAGTTTCTTTAGTCAAATTCTAGGAAAATAGTAGCATTCATTCCACTAAATTCTTCATTAAATTAAAAATATGGTATTTTTTGCTTCAAATGAATGAGTTAAGAACAATCTGAGTTTTGACATAGAATTTAATGTATGTACAACTCTGGACATCCTTATGTCTTAGCTATATCTGATAAAACGTAGAGAGTCACATTCAATATCAAAATTTTAGTGTGTATTAGGTACCTAAATAAAGGAAAATGCCCCACATTTGCATTAAGCACCCTTTTTACATAAATACCTTCATGTAAATAGATGACTAAAATCTCTAACAACAGTATAATTTCCCATGCAGTATTGTCTCAGTTTCTTCTAAAATACATTTGAGACTATGTAAATTAAAAGCTGCAATTAAAATAATAGGAAATGACTTAAATTTCTACCTGTCAAGACTGGTTAAATGAATTCTTGTACATTTTATAGCTAAGTCAAAATGAGGAAGGAAACTATGTATATGGAAATGAATACAAGATAAATTAAGTGAAAAAAATCAAGGCACCAAATCCTTTATGTAATATGCTACATTTTGTGATAAAAATGGAAAAGCAAGAACTATCATTATTTGCATATATGTACATAAACAAACTCTAGAAGGACATGGAATAAACTAATACCAGAAGTTACTGAGCCAGGTTTAACCAGAAGAGAATCAAGAGTGAAACAGAACATTTTTACTGTAAATTTTATTTTTTTTTTAAGTTTTGGGCCATTATAATGTATTTATATTTTCAAATATGTAAATAAAAGCAATTTGGTAAAATAAGATACAATTGTAATAATTATGACTTAATTCCATATTAAGTAGTAATGAATTCTTACTATCTTTCGACTCTAATCTTATTAGTTATTAAAAAGGTCTAGTTCTCAGGGAAAAAATTACCTGATACATAAAAGCTGAAATATAATGATGGTTGAAGGAAGAATTTCTTTCTTCCTTTCTCTACCACTTCATCTAAATTGGCAATTAAAGATAGCAAGGCTCATCTGGCTAGTGAAACAGAAATCCATCTCCTTTGACTTCCGAGTGAATAATATCATAAGCATGAAAATTAATGCTTTCCACTTCAAATTTTTAAACAGCTATAGTGTCCATGGGGCCTGCTGACTAGCACTTCAACTCTACAAATGCTACCAAGCATTACAATTTACAGGGCCAGGTGTTATTTTCAAAATAACAACAGAAAGATTACAAACACTTTTCTAATTTAAAACACAAATTGAATGAACCTTCACAGACTCCAAAAAAGGTGCATCAATAATCCCTTCACGGTAGCTTTCCCCTTCTCAGCACAGCCATTGTTCCCACCATAGAGGCTTTCTGAAACACTCTCAGACCTATCATGTTGGGGTTTTCCATGGGACCCTGTGCCTACCTTCCCCTCCTCTGTTCTGTATGGCCTCTGTGTTCATCTCCAAATGCTTACCAATCTTTAAAAGTTAAATTTAGGGACTCCCTAGTGGCCTCAGGGTTAAGTCTCAGCACTACCACCCACTATAATGGCCTGAGTTCAATCCCCAGCCAGGGAGCTGACCCACATGGTGCAGCAGACCTTTCCTGTCTCACCCGCTGCTCCCCTCAGCAATGTATTTCAGTACATCTGCCTGTTCTGCTCCCCACTTTGTCTCTGGTGAATCCTCTCACCCCCCACACCTCTGACTTACACCCTAGTTCTTGTATGCATAAATAAATAAACCTTAAAAAATAAGTGAGTGAATGAATCTGATATTTTCCCAAATCTGTCAGAATTCTTTTTTTTTTCTTTTTTATACACCCTTTTCTTTCTTTTTTAAAAACAATTCTTATTAAAACAACACCGGTATATGACATTACATGTTTCATTACATTACATGATCATTATAAATCAACAATGTTGATACTATGCTATCATAGTATAACTATGATATACTATGTTAAAAATTATGTTAAGTTCCACACTGAAAGTCCAATCCTGTCCTTCAGACAATTGTCTGCTTTGGGCCTACAGCTTTGCCTGTCCCTATTAGAATGAGTGATCATTAGAAAAAAATACATATTTATATTTATAACCTTGTAGATAATGTTACTTCTTATTAATATGAATAATAATAATAATTAATATGAATAATAATACCAACAATAAGAAAAACCAAACCAGGTACTCTACCAGTGACAAGTGCATTACCTCATCTAATCCTTGGGACAGCTCTGAAGTTGTTTTACAAAAGAGGAAACTGTGACCAAGGGTAAGTAACTTGCCCCAGTTATGTAACCACAGGACTACAGGCAGAAAGGAGAAGAATGAGCCTTCAAGTCCAATGTCTCTGCCTCCAAAGCATATATATAACCAGCTTGTTTAGAACTTTGGTAGAATGATAAATATCATCATGGATTGAATGTTGGTGCCCACCAGCCCAATTCAAATAAATTGAAACCCTAATGCCCACTGTAATTGTATTAGGAGGTGGGCCTGTGGGAGATGATTATATCATGAAGGTGAAGCCCTCAAGACTGGGATGAGAGCCTTTATAAAAGGGACCCCAGAGAACTTTCTCACCCTCCTTCCCCCATGCCATAGTACACGGATAAGTCAGCAGTCTGGACCCTTAAGGAGGCCTCACCAGACTTGTCCATGCTGGCACCCTGATCCAGCGTCCACCACTGTGAGGAATACACTTCTGTTGTTTATAAGCCACCACCTACTCTGAAGTCCTCTCTGTTACAATTGCCCAGGTTGACCAAAACAATAACCCTTTCTAAAATATCAAATTATATGTTACAAAGCACTTTCAAATTATAGAAGCGATTTGAAGTGGAACAAGTAGAATAAAAAATTTGTCTTAGCCATTAAAACTCTGCTATGATATAGACTCTAAGTTTTTACCTGCCCTTCAATGGCTAATTAGCCCATACTCCGTACTGAGGATAATTTTCTCAGTCCCAAGCCCAGTACTTCACTGCTGGATTTCACGAGAAACACACACTAGGTGCTGTTTCTCCACACTCCTCCTTCTTACCTTGCCATCCACCCTCTGCCGCGTAACACCCCCTCCTCCCTCCTGTAGTCTGAGAAATCATGGTGAGAATCCCTTGGACTATATGGGATTTACTCTTGATTCATTCAGATCTTTATTAAAGGCACTTTTTTTTTAATTTTTTTTTTATAGAGGCATGTTTTATTTATTTGTTTGTTTGTTTTGTTCACACATGCACTGGGTACAGTCAGAAGTGCAGGAGGGTGAGAGAATTCACCAGAGCCAGAGCGGGGGGAGCAGAGCAGGCAGAAGGACCGAAGTACACTGCTGAGGGGAGCAGCGGGCGGCAGGAGAGGTCTGCGCGCCATGTGGGACCCTCCTCCGGTGGCCGGGGAGCAGCCGGGGATCGAACCAGCGCTGCAGAGGCCCCGGGCAGCTTCGCAACCCAGCGCTCAACTGCTGCGCCCCTGGGGAGGCCCTATTAAAGGCACTTTTAAGCATCAGGCACTGGGACCTGCCTTCTGTGAGTTTACAGGAGAGTAAGAAAGATGGAGAAGCAAAGAGCCCACCTCCATTCTTCCCCAGGCTTTCTTTCACTACTGTTGGTAATTGTGATATCAGCACCAGCGGGCAATCCATGTGCTCATAGAACTGAACACAAAAAGGCAACCATGGTAGCATCATTCCCAATTCTGTCAGAGATACTGTTATGGGAGTTTTGATGTATATTACCTTCAACTTTTTAAACAAATTCATGTTCACCTGAAATTTTTAAAAAGAACTTCAGCGAAGCTTACATAATATCCTTTGCCAACACTGTCATGAGAAACAGCCTTCTGCAGGACATACGTTAGATTTGGGTGCGACACTGATGATTTAGGGTCCCTGTGAAACGTGCTCTTGTAAAGGTACTTCGAGGGTCCTGTTCTGTAATCCCAGCCCCAGACATTGGTCAGAGCTCAATAGATGCTCATGAAATGAAAGAATGAATGGAAGCATCAGTGGTGCAGATTATTGAAATTGAACAAATCTTGACAGGATTATTAGCCCTCTGTACTTTAAACTGTCAAGGCAGGGGCCTCCCTGGTGGTGCAGGGGGTTGAACGCTGTGAAGCTGTTCAACAGCCCCTGCAGCGCGAGTATGATCCCCAGCCAGGGAGCTACCCACATGGCGCAGCAGACCTCTCCTGACTCGCCCGCTGCTCCCCTCAGCAGTGTACTTTGGTCTATCTGCCTGTTCTGCTCCCTTCTGTGTCTCTGGTGAATCCTCTCACCTCCCACACCTCTGGCCTGTACCCCACTTCTTGTAATCACAAACATATAAATAAATGTTAAAAAAATCATTTTTAAAAAGTTTAAAAAAAAGTCAAGGCACACAGCTTTCCATTTCAAGAGAAAAAGCAGTAATAATAATTATAATAATAATTCTTAAAAGGATGAAGATAGTTTATTCTTACTAGATATGGGAAATGTGGAATTCTATAAAACTGAAAGAAAAAGCTACCATCGTATTTCATTCCATTTACCATCATGATCATGATCATAAGACAGTTAAAAATCCCAGCAATACAACTCTAAAGCAATAAGCTGTCCCACAAAGTGCTACAGCTCAAGTCTCACAAGCAGTTATACCTGAATGGAAGGTAGGGGGGGTTTGAGCCAGATAGGAGTGCTCTGTAGGCTTCTTCTGGTGTCTTCTTTAAATAGATTACCTAAGACAGATAAATAGTGACATTTAGAACACCACCAAAGAATGACACGAAGCAAATTTAATTACTCACCAAATCTGCATTTCACATCTTCCACTTTGAGTGACAACGTCAGGGTGATCATGCTAATCTTTAGACAGCAACCGAGCTGTCAAAATGTCCTTTTCAGCTTGAAGCTGAAGCTTGGGCAGGATCTTAGAGAAAGAGGGCAGCTCCACAAGCGAGGCTGGCCATCCAGAGCTGTTTACAAGGCACAATGAACAGACACAATGGCAGGGTTTTCCCCTTGGGGAGCAGAACAACTGTACCTCCATTATTGTACTGTGTTCTCACCAAAGATAAATACAGACCTCCCTGTCCTTCACAGATTGCTGGGAGGTAATTTAGTGCCTGGTGTTCTCAGCATGAGCACAAATTGCCTGGGAGGTCTACAGAATTCTCTCTCTGCTCTAATGAAAACCTGTGTTGCTCTCTAAACATTCAATAAAATCACAAGTAAACGGGGAAATAAATGCAGGTAAGAGCATTGAAAAACATACTGGCTTGGTTTTATTATCGGGGCTACTTAATCCCTGTGGTTCAGCATAACAAATTAATCTTAAAGAAATGAACAAATGTGTTCTTAAAACCAGTAAACAACTTCCATTTATTCAACGTATTGACTATAAAATATGTGCCAGGCATTCTATCAGGTCTACTGGTTCCTCTCTTAATAGTATTTACATTGTTCTGGGGATAAGACGATAATCAACAAAAGTAAGTGCTGGAAAGGAAATAAGCAGGGTCCTGGAAAGAGAATGCAGGGGTGGCTTGAGGTAAGGCAGTCGGGACCCCCCTAAGGCAAGATGTGCTGGGAGAGCCAGGGGAAGAACTAAAGGAAAGAAGGAAGAGCTTTCCAGACAGCGGGGATAATAAGGACAAGGTCCTTGCAGGAGAGAGCCAGGTGAGTTGGACAGAGAGACAGGTGTGACTAGGGCAGGGGGAGGGAGGGAGGGGGAATTAGTAGTCAGATTGTGAAGAAAATAACAAACCATGGGGAAAGTTTGGTTTTATTCTAAATGCAACTTAATCATTTAATTCTGAGCCAAGGGCACTGGTCCTTTTTTGCTATCGTTTGAATCAAACTTGATTCCTAATATCCTTCCCACTTATAATTAATAGCATTATTTCCCTAATATGTTCCTTAATAATATCAAAACCTTATGCATTTCAACAACAGAAATGTTAGCGTGCTGGTTGTCTAAAAGTAGGGTTTACCTCTCTGCTTACAGAGCTTCTTGGAGCTTTAAGCTAGTATGGATATGTTATATTTTACCTATTTTTAAAAATTCAGGACTAGAAATCACCTCAAATCTGCATTCTACAAAAAAAGAAAACTAAAATAAAGACGAGATACTTCTAATATTAAGTAAACAAGGTGTGATAAAGCACACACCCACCAAGGTAAATTGAAGAGGTAACAAAACAGCACAGAAAATGAAACCACCATCAAAGCATATAGCAAAGATTCTACAAATGAAGAATCATGACTATAGTTGCCACTCACATAATTACAAAAGTCCACTGACACCCTAGCTTTGAAGGCCATTTGCAGTAACCAACATTAAAACAGCAGGTAGATCTATAATACAGAATTGGTTATAACGCTGTGATTTTTTTCAAGTCTAAAGATGCAGGAGTGTTTGAAAGTTGCCTGTGGCTGCTGAAAGGGAAAGCCGCTTACAGAAAGCTGTTGTGTTTGGATTAGATAATTAAAGCTTATACAACAAACCTTTGAAAAGTAAAAATACATTTTCCTCCTAGGGAGCAATTACATTAATTCCCTTTAATTCAGAGGCAGTCATTCTGCAGGAGAGAGTCAGCAGCCCACAGGAAATATTTCTTCAGACTCCCTACCCCCCAGGGTTCTGCTGCTCATCTTACCAGCTTGACTTAGCACACATGACCCATGTTCTCACACAGTAAGATGAGAGTCTTTGTTTTTATTTTTATCCCAGTGCTAAATTATTAATAAGTGCAAAGTGAAACCCTGCAGAGGCCATCTAAATTCCAGGAAGATTCCAGGGACAGGTAAAGGCAATGACCTTTTACAACCTGATGACAGTCACTTGGGAGAGCGATGAGATATTCTTGCCCTAATCAACAAGTACATTACTGACTGCATATTGGAGTCACAAAAAACTAAATTCCCATTTTTCTAAGAGGAGATGTGATGCGGATTATGATGTCAGGTCTTCTTAGCTATATTTCCTATTAAAATGAGAAAGAGAAAAGAAAAAAGAGAGCTAACTAGGTCTGATTAAATTTCAGAAAGAAGACGTTTATTAAGCCTTGTTGTTGAAAGATCTAAAGCTCAGAAAGGTAAGGAACTTTCCAAACTGGCATTGCTGCTCTGTAATGCAGTGAGGATTTGAATACACAGCTCATTCTAAGACCCACAGTGATTCCACACATCACATCTGCTTGAAAATTATCAATGCAAAAAAAACATAAGCACAAATCTGGGAAGAAGTTTCCTAAAAATTGCCCTTATACTTGACTTTCAAAATTAGGTGACTTCACCTTAATATATATATTATATATTATAAATAAATATATCATATATTGTAAATATATACATGAAAACATTAGTAACAAAATAAAATTTAGGTGCCTTCAAACTGCTAACAGTAGTTGTATCTGAGGAACAGAGCTGGGGAGAAAGGAGTGCTTTCTACTTTATATTTTCTACTATGTCCTCATTATATCCTGTTAATTTATTTGTAAAGTGGAGTAACTAAATCAGCTAAATGTTAAATGTGTGACTGTCCCTAAAAAAGGCTATATTTAATACTCAAAAATGTGTTAACCAGATATTCTAATATTGCTTCTAAGTATTTTCTGAATAAAATTAATTTTAAATCACCTTCTAAATACCCAAATTTTCCCTCCCTGCTTCTAAGGGGGTTAAAATAACATGCTGTCCACACATCTCAATAGATACAGCGCAGTCGTTGCAAACTGGGAAAAGCACTATTATCAGTCTGTTCCTGGAATAGTGAGCATGTGCATGACTTTATAAAACCACCCTACTCTTGCCAGGAAGTCCCAGAAACTTTCTCAACAATAACATTTGACATATGTTCTCTTATTTTTCACTGACAAGCAGTCAACCAATTAAAATTAATTTTTTATGCTTGATTACTGTGATCCCAGGACCAAGGACCCAAATAATGTTCAATTTCTTTAATAAAAATTTCTTTAAAAGTCAGCATCCTAATATATATTACCCATAGCTAGAAGATGTTTATTTAACATTATAAAATCACAATACTATAAGCTAATGTTATTTACATTCTTTACCAATAAGCCAATGTTTCCCAGACCCCAAATAGTTACATATCAACTTTTTCAACTCTGCTACCACGTCCCTATGTATTGTACAACCATTTCTCTTTAGACACACTCTTTTAACATAAACCAATTTATTCTAAAGTGCTTTATATCATTGGTGTAAGTTGAATATTAGTGTCTAAATATAAATGAACATTGAAATACATAACTCTTAAAATTTACAGTTTTTTAAAAATCCTGCAGATTGTAGATTTGAAACTACAAATCTACAGGTCAAAGGTCTTTGAGAAATGAAAAGGTCTGAAATGTCAAAAAAATTAAATCATGTAAATGCCAAAAAAATTTACAATGTTTGTGTGTACCTGACACACACTGAGAAACAATGAAACAAATATCAAGGTTAGACCAACTGCACAGACCAGCTCACCAGTGTGGGAAGTTAAATAAAATCCTCTTAAAATTAATCTACAAATACTTCCCAATCATGTCTTTCAACTAAATCCTAGGATCCCTAAATCCTTAAAACCTGTCAAAAAATAACATATATGAATTTCAGAGGCTTTAATAATTTACAACCATGTTTTATCTCTCCAAAACACAGGGGAGATTCTTAAAATAACAAATGGCTTAATATAGAAGTCTAAACCAAACTCTGAGTCACAAATTTGCTAATGGTCTTTCCCCAAGGACATTTACCTCAATTCCTAGTGTTTTTCATTTGTTTTTAGATTTTATTATCACCCCCTAAAAAAAACACACAAAAACACTTCTATATATTTTTAAATGATGTCTGTGCCTCTGTATTAATTATATTTCTATTTTGTGATCTGGAAAGTGGAAACACTCTCGAGGATTTTGATCCCACCATCTGAGAGCGTATTCTACAATTCTGGCATTTGATTTCCTGTTATTTGTTTAATATTTTACTTGTTTATAAAAGAGGAAACAAATGCTAGAACAGCCTTTTCCAGTCAGGTACTGCCACTAGAATATGACAGGCCAGCTGTGAAATTTTAGCATTCCAACATTTTCTGAGTCAACTAAATGTCTTCAAAATAGAAGTTTCCAGAAAACAGATGTTACAACTTGAAAATAGCCGAAAAGCATTAAAATTTATCACATATAGACGAGAGGCACTCTAAACGTTTCAGACAAGTAGGTTGAGCACACACAGAGGGCTAAATGTGAACACATGCCTATCACATGTGCTTTGGACTCTGGTTCATTAACTAACAGTCACGGTTGTTTAAGTGCTCCATATAACTTAAAATGATCACACCTGCAAGACAGCAGTGGGGATGAGGATGGGCAGAGGCAAGAAGATGCTTCTGTCCCTGGTACAGCTGGCCAGGGTAGAACACTAGCTTGCTTTGAAGCCACATCTCCATAATTGGTTTTCCCCAGCATGCCCCTTTCTCACCCTGTGTATGCTCAGTCAGCCAGACTCAAAACCTCAAGTCATGATGGACTCTGGTCTCCCCTTCACGTGTCCACCTTCATCAAATCAATACAGAGACTGGCTTTTTTCTTTTTCTCCATAGTCGCTATCCACTATGGGGTGGATTCAGCTTTGGGGCACTGAAACATCATTCAGAGAGAAAAGCAAAAGAATACAAATATCTTTTCTGATTTTACAAAAATATATTGGCAGGAGTGTTTGGTAGAAGGCA